AGTGCCCTAAACAACATATCAAAATCTTTACGCTCAGTTCAACTCGGAACATAAATAAATTAATTAAAAACTATCGACTTTTGTGCACTGAACGCCACGAATTTCAACTGCAGCAATTTACCGAGAAATTGCGGCAAATCATTACGTTTGATTGCTCAGGTATTTCTATACTCGAACGATACATTTTCTTCGAGAACGATTGAACTATATTTTTGAAATTATATATAATTGTATATATATATATAATAATATTACATCCTTTCATAGAGATCTACTCAAGCAGTTGAAAAGAAGATGATGGCTCTTATGAAGGCAGAGAGATTACTGCCCCGAACACACGAGGAAGCGTTTAAACAGGTATTTTGATAAATAGAGATTGTATGCTGAGTTTCATTAAACAATGAATCTTATTTTATATCACTTCGAGTCATCCTGACTATGTGGTGAGTGATCAGGACTTGAAAATGATTAGATGTCCACCATTCCATCAGGTTAGGAATCGAACCCGGAACCTATCTGCTGTGAGACAACGTCTTTACTCACTGCGCCAGACCAGGGCTTGTATAGATTTGAGTGATTTATTTTTCCAAAATTTTCAAGTTTTTGTAGGATTCGGTACACGATAGAAGGGTTTATCAAATATGAAACACTAGGGATTAATGTACAAGTGGAACTGAATTTGTGTACGACAAATATAGCTTTCCCTTTGCGCCTTAAGAGCTAGAATTGGATCTTTTAAGACAAATATATCACCTCAGCTGATTAAGGAATGTCTGAATTATTGGGAAGGTGTTTTACGGTAATCGACAGCTATATGCTGGTTACCCGGAGGATGGTGAGGACTTCAGCTGTTGTATAAAGATTGAAAACATTTCAGTGAAGTAGAATGAAATAAATATGGAAGTAGCTTCTCTACATTTCTGATACTTCCGCGCGAAACCACAAATCCGAATAAATGTAAAAATTAAAAGTTTCTAAAGAGCTTCGAATTTCCTTCAATTTGATAAAATTTCAAAAACCATTCATTTTAAGTTTCAAAAAGAATAGTATATTTTCATGTCTGA